CCCTCCACTTTACCAAACATGATGTCCTCCTCCAGGGACTGGTCCTTCCTGATAACATGTCTAAAGTGCACACATTGATACTCAGTGAATATTTATGGGAAAAACTTGATTTAAAAAAATCATTAAATTAAATACTTTGATTTCACACTTTTCACCTATCTCCTACAGTTACACTCTAATTCTACTTTTAGTAGAAAGAAGTTATGGAGGAGGGAGGAAGCAATGGAGAGGGGGAAAGGGACCCTAAGGATAGCTAAGAATTGCCCTCACAATTTAGATAAGGAAACAGGCCCAGAGTTGCCCAGGAGACCCAGTGAGATAGTATCCCATGTAAGGAACTCAGATTTCCTAACTTCCACTCGATTGCAGTGCCTCCCACCTGTCCTTGCAGGTGTGCGTTTAGTTTATGAGGATAAGGAAAAATAATTCCTCAAAACATGTTTTACAACATCAAAGACCAATCATTTATTCTGATCACTTAGAAAATAAATCAGTCTGAGTGTATTTTAAAGAGTTTATAATTATAGCTTTGGACAATATTTCAACATATTCTTTCAAAGGAGGAAACATTGGGTCAAAATACAAAAGATAAAACAGCCGTTGTGCTTTCTTATCATGCCCAGAATGAGGAAGCACTTGGTTCTTTCACCACAGGGTCTGGTCCTCTTTGATGCACAAAAGAGAAGCCGTGTGAAGACAGTCATAGATTCTGCATTCAAGGAACTAAATTCTGGTTCCACCGCTGACCCAAATTAGTTGTGTGATTTCAGGAAACTCTCTTCTTCTCTCTGGGTCTCAGTTTCTTCCTCTGTAAAATGGGAGAGATGGAAAAGGGAATGGCTCTGAAGATCTCCAAAGTTCCTTCCAAGTCTGATGACATTGCAGTTCTTTCACTGCTATGTGGGATTAACTGTGCAACGTGGTCTAAATACACATGGTTGTGTGTTGCCAAGTGGGTTCCAACTCATAGTGACCCTATATAGGGTTTCTGAGACTGTAAATCTTTAAGGGAGCAGAACATCTTCCTCCCATGGAACATCTGGTGGATTTGAACTGCTGACCGTTTGGTTAGTAGCCCAACATGTCACCCCCTATGCCAGCAGGAGGAATTAGGGAGGACATGGGGGACTTCCCAGACAGACAAGGTTTACACAACATGGGTCTGGCACTTCTCAGCTCTCATTTTATTGGCCCTGGTACTCTGAAAGACACTGGGTCACTAACTACAAAGTTGACAGTTCAAATCCACCATGGTGGGTGAGGTTGTCTACTCCCATAAAGATGAACAGTTTTGGAAACTCTATATAGGGTCACTATGAGCCAGAATCAAGTCGAAAGCAGTGGAATTTTTTTTTTTTTTTTGGTACTCTGAAAATGTTCCTCCATGAAGGTATGTTCATGGGTCTTATCTTTCCAATGAGACACTAAGCTCTTTGAAGTCACCTCAGAAGACCCAAATAGAGCTCAATAAATATGTGTTCTTAAGTGCTATCGAGTCGGTCCTGACCATAGTGACCCTGTCTAGCGTTTCTGAGGAGCAGCTGTTGGGTTTGAACCTCTGACCTTGCAGCTCAAACTGACCTTGTATCCCAATGTTTATCCTCCAATGCCACACCAGAACTACCAGTAAATATTGTTGTTATTATTGTTAAATGCGGTCGAGTTGATTCCAATTCATAGCAACCCTATGTAGGGTTTCCAAGGAGTAGTTAGTGGGTTTGAAACAGCAGCTTTGCAGTTCAAACTGACTTTTTGGTCCAGTGCTTTATCCTACAGGACCACACCAGGACTCCCAATAAATACTAGACAGGCAAAATAGTCCAAGTTCCTCTTCCAGTGCCCACGTTTCTCCCTCACCTTTCCTACTACCTGTTGTTATTCAGGTAATTTGTACTCATGGCAATCTCAGAGGACAAAGAAGGACTATTCCACAGGGAGGGTTTCCAGGACTGTAATCTTTATGGAAGAGGCCCTAATGGTGTAGTGGGTTATATGTTGGGCTGCTAACCGCAAGGTCGATGATTTAACTCTACCAGTTGCTCCACGGAAGAGACGGGCAGTCAGCTTCCTTAAAGAATGTTGTTGTTAAGTGCCTGCAGGTAGATTCCAACTCACAGCGGCAATGTATAGAGTTTCCTAGGGTTTCTTTTTTTTTTTTTTTTTTTAAATCTCTACAGGAGCAGAAAGCCTCATCTTTCTCCCACAGAGCCGCTGGCGGGCTCGAACCACGGACCTGTGGTTCACAGTCCAGTGCTTATTGTATGGAGTCACCATGCTCCTCCAAAAAGATTACAGGCCTTGAAAACCCTATGGGGCAGTTCTACTCTGTCCTATAGAGTCGCTGTGAGTTGACTAAATGGCAGTAGGTTTGGTTCTGGTTTTCTGGAATCTTTACAGAAATAGACTGCCACATCTTTCTCTTGACAGAGAGGCTAGTAGGTTTGAACCACTGACCCATCTGTAAGCAGACAAGCGTGTAACCACTGTGCCACCGGGGTTTCCTACCCACCCCTCTAATAATGCTTTCCCTCTCCTATCACCCCTCTACCTCAAGTCCTATTATTTCTGTTAGGGCTGTTACAATAACCGCCCTTTCAATCTGAGATCCTGCCTCTAGACGTGGCCCCTCCTTACTCAAAGTCCCCCATGGCTCCCAGCTGCCCAATAAATAAAATCTGAGGTCTGACTTCACAAAAAGTGCTGCATAAAAATGAACTATTCACAGTTTAACATCTTATAAAGTTGTCATTAAAGAGCCCAGTTTGGGTAGTGGGTTATGCATTCGGACTGCTAAACACAGGTCAGCAGTTTAAATCCACCAGTTGCTCCATGGTTGAAAGATGAAGCTTCCTGCTCCCATAAAGATGTACAGCCTCAGAACCAATTCCACAGCACACAACCACCACCATCAAAGTTTTCATTCCTTCTTAAGGTGCTGTGGGTTAATGTGCAAGACTACAAAGCCGT